CCGCGCTGTCCCCGCAGAAGCCGATCCTGCTGCAGGGCCACGAGCGCTCCATCACGCAGCTCAAGTACAACCGCGAGGGAGACCTGCTCTTCACCGTCGCCAAGGACCCCGTGAGTGTGTCCGCCCCTCCCCGCCCGCCCAAAACCCGGCTCTGCCCGAGCCCGGGGCGCTTCATCCCTGCCCGGGACACGTGTTTGGTTTCCACCCAACACCAGGGCGCCCCCCGCCCCCGCCCCCGGCTTCACAGTCGTTGTAACCCGGCATCTCGCGTCCACGCCCCCCGTTCCTCGTTTCCTCCCAGCTGCGATAACCTGCCTCTCGCATTCGTGGGCGCTGCGGTCCGAGCCTTGAGATCCTCCGTGCGGTTTCCCGTTTGACGCTAAGTGGGGTTCGCGTACCCGGCAGCATCGGGTAAAGCGGACGCTCGGTTTACTTCTGTTGTTCCTCCAGATTGTCAACGTTTGGTACTCGGTCAACGGAGAGAGGCTCGGCACTTACAACGGTCACACGGGAGCTGTCTGGTGTGTGGATGCAGACTGTATCCTTTGGTTCCTACGGCCTGTCTGTCGTCTTCAGGCTCTTCTCCAGTGCCGCCGTTGGGGTCGGGCGGGGGGGGCTACGGTACAAGTGATCCTTGTCCAACCTAGTATCAGACTCTTTCCTTTACTCTCTGCTGGATTTTGCCCCCTTCCTTTGAAACGGGAAATGGTCTGTGTGCTGTTGTGCCCCAGCCGCACTTACCCTTCACCCCTGCAGGCTGATATAACGTACTCAGGCTGCTGGTGAAGCTGGGGTTCCTGGAAGATCGTTACAAAGCAATCTTCTCTTCCCACTGCAGACGGTAGTTGATAAATGCGGAGCAAAAGCGTGTCTGAATGTGAGAGGAGCCTGGTTCTCATGGCACAAATATCTGGCCGCAGCATCGTGAAATGAAAGTTACTTAACACGCATCTGTCGCATTCCTGATGCGTGCACTGAAACTCTTACGTGTCCTGCGTGCGTGTGTCTGTGTCCTACTCTAACATGTGAATGTTGGCTCCTTTGAGGTGATGGGGCGTAAGGCTTTGTTGACGTTCCTTAACTAATGGTTCAGGGGACACGAGGCATGTGCTTACAGGCTCTGCAGACAACTCCTGCCGGCTCTGGGACTGTGAAACAGGTAAGACAAGCTGTTGGGGAGAGGATCTTTCAAGCCTTTCATCAGAGCACAGCTGAGTCCATGAGCTGGGGAGTAGCAGGGTAATGTGTTGGCTTCTCACTTCAGCAAAGGCACGTTTCACTTTGCCTGAGGCCACTCACGGAAGGGTGTGCTCGTGTTCTGATTCCTGCCCACTAAGAAGTATTTTTGCCCTCTTCACTATCCAAACTGATCTGATTTGATGTCTTCAGCCTGGAATTGGTGCTGAGGTGATGCTTGTGTTGGGGGAACTTGCACTTTATCTCTGACCAGAAGGGTCGCTCCTTGCTTTGTGAGTGTGTAATTCATCCAGCAGCTTAAAAGAAATTCTTACTTGTGTGCATTTCATGAATGATATTTCAGTAGCTGAAATGGTGTCATCCTTTTTGAGTAAAAGCATTTGGGCGGAGGCCCACAGAGCATGCTTCTCTGACCTGTAGTGAAGCATTAAGGTGCTTGTTTACCAACTTGGGAGACTGCTGCGAGACCCTCTTCAGAGCCCAAAACATCACTTGCTGTGCTAGCTCACTAATCAGTGGGGACTTGAGCAGTGAGAATAGACTGGAACTTGCATTAAATGACTTACAGGTAGTTAAGCTGCTGACCACAGCCTGTTCTAGTTTCCTGTCTTTGGTTGGTGAATGGTGAAATTAATGGTGTGAAACTCACAATGTGGTGGTCTGGAGCTGTCCACTGAGACTTTGCCCTGCGTCTAGGAAAACAGCTTGCCCTAGTGAAGACCAGCTCCGCTGTGAGAACCTGCGGATTTGATTTTGGAGGAAACATCATCATGTTCTCCACAGACAAGCAGATGGGATATCAGTGCTTTGTGAGCTTCTTTGACCTGCGGGACTCCAGCCAGATTGGTACGGAGCCTGGGCAGATGCCTTCGTGGGGGTGGGGAGGCTCTGATGGCACCTTCTGTCAGCAATTCAGTTGGCAGTGTTGTGCCTGAGCCACTCCTTCCTTCCCCAGAGAACGATGAGCCTTACATGAAAATCCCATGCAGCGAGTCGAAAATCACCAGTGCTGTGTGGGGCCCTCTGGGGGAATTCATCATCGCAGGGCATGAGAATGGAGAGTTGAACCAGTTTAGTGCCAAGGTGAGCGTGATGCAGAGCAGGATTGTCTGAGGGAAGAGGGCCACGTGGTGGGCATCCCACGGCATATGAGCTGGACTTTTGTGAGCCGTGGCGCAGGTGTGGGCAAGGGGCACTGGAGTATGATGGCTGGGGAAGGTATGTGCACCTGGGGCGCTCTGGTGCTGGTGGAGGGTGATCATTAATTTTGCTGTGTCTGGTCCCAGTCAGGGGAGCAGCTCACGAATGTCAAAGAGCACACCAAGCAGATCAACGACATCCAGACCTCACGGGACATGACCATGTTTATCACTGCCTCCAAGGACAACACAGCCAAGGTGAGACCTCTCTTGGCCCACCCAGTGGCTCTAGGACGCTGAGGGAAATGGCCATCTCGACTTCTTTTTCCCTTCCACTGTTTGAGGCTTCTCTCTAGAAACTTGTGGGTAACCATGGACCCAAACTTCTTTTACACCAAAGCAAATGTCTGCTTAGTGGGAACAGCCCTGTAATTAGAGGGCTGCCTGGGCTAGATGGACAGGCAGGGGCAATCATGCAGTGGTTTCAGAGCTGAGGTGGAGAAGGGGCACTGTGTGCTGCTCTTCTTGGAGCATGTGCAGATCTTTTTGGGACTTAAACCTTTGAATCAGAAGTCTTACCACGGACTGTTCTGGACCCATGGCACTAATGAGCCCTGTCCAGGGGTGGAAGCCGCTGTTCAGGCTGTTGGGGGAGTGAGGCCTTCCCAAGGTATTACCTTGGGACAGGCTGGTAGTGCTGGCTGTCGTTTCTTCCAGCTCGTTCCCAGGGTCACCACTGCACCTCTTACCTCCTAGCTCTTCGACTCCACGACACTCGATCACCTGAAGACGTTCCGGACAGAGCGGCCCGTGAACTCTGCAGCGCTCTCGCCCATTTTTGACCATGTAAGTGTTTGCCTTGGGGCTGCTGCGTCATAGATGCTTCTCCTTTTGCCAGGCCCTGGCATTGTGGCAAGAAAAGAGAGATTGAGGGTGGGGAGATGGGGACTCTAGGACAGGATCTGGCAGTGGGCAAAGAACATTCAGTCCATCGGTGTCTTGCATCACACTCTGATAATGGCATAATTTCCTCCATCTTTCAGGGGCAGTGCAGGGCTATTCCCTGCAGTATATCCATGTCCCTTCTATACCACTATGCCCCCACCCCTGCATGCAGGGCTTGCTGGTGGCTCCTCTTCCCTCCCTGAACTTTAATCAGTGGTGCTTCTAGTGTTGCATCTCCAAGCTTCTTTGCTGCCCCCTGGTGAGTCTTGGCACTGCAGCCTGAGATGCTGCACTAGCTCAGGAAGGGCTGATCACTGGTCCATAAGACGCTTCAGCCTGCCTCAGTGGGGATGGGAGGGGGATGTGGAGAGAGACATGGCTGAATTAAAACTGTTTCTTCCGCTGTAGCTTCCAGCAGAGGTGACAGGGAGGGAAGAAGAGGGATTTACTTAGGCTGAAACCTGCAGCAGAAACCCAGGAGGCTGGAACCTCCTGCCATCTTGGCGTGTCAGAGAAGAGGAGTGTGGGCAGCCTGGCTGGCTCTCAGAGTTTTTTTTAGCTGCTGCCAGTCTAAGCATCTGTGCAACTGCAGCACTGGCAGATGGGAATGGCTGGAGAGGAGTTGGTATTTGGAGTGTTCCTTCCTGCCATTCCTCTGCCAGGGGAGGGGAACGTTGCTGGAGTAACCAGCGCAGTGTGAGCACAGGCTGGGAAGTCTGTGAAAGCCCTACAGGGATGAGTTCTAGGCCTTCTGTTTTGGGCTTGGTAAATGGTTCTCAAGTGAGTGTAGCTGAAAGGTAAGAGGTGCACAGCAGATGTCATGGAGCTCTAGCCATGGAGATCAACCTGACAGGAGCAGGCGTCTCATGGGTCTCTGCTTCAGTTGCTCTGCTGAGTACATGGAGCCTGGTACCTGCCAGGAGTGATCTTGAAGCAGCATCTAAGTATGTTGGCTGCTTTTTCCCCCTCGCAGGTCGTCCTGGGTGGTGGACAGGAGGCCATGGACGTGACCACGACCTCTACTAGGATTGGCAAGTTTGAGGCAAGGTTAGTTCCTTTTGTTCCTTCAATGCCAAGGCAGACGGGGGCATGGAGGGCAGATGACAAGTGCTACTGCCTACCTTCTGAAGCAGCAGAAAGAGTTGGTCATGGAGTACGCCATGCCCTCAGACAACCCTCCCCATGCCTGACTGGGGCTACAAGCTGCTGACCCAGAGCCTCTTCCTTGTTCCCAGATTCTTCCACTTGGGTGTTGAAGAGGAGTTTGGGAGAATCAAAGGCCACTTCGGTCCAATAAACAGTGTTGCCTTCCACCCCGATGGAAAGAGGTGAGGATTTTGCTATGGGGTTCAAAGTCACTGCTGCCTATTCAGGTTGGAGTCAGGCTTTAATGGGCTACATTCCACCCCCTCCCTGCCAGCGCACCTCAGTGTTGACCTGCTTGGCCGTGTCACGATCTCCTTGCACTGCAGTATCCTAATCCCGTGGCCCATCCTGGAACACTGAGAAAGCCGCAACCCCCTGCCCCCATCCCCGTGCAGGAGGGTAGAGCCAGCCTTGCTTTTGTATCCGCAGTGACTCTTAATATAGATATGACTGGGTGTCAGTGTTGTATCTTAGGGCTTGTCTGCACCAGGGCAGCCGGAAAAGATGAGACCAGCCAACTAGGATCATACCTTTAAACTGCTGCTCCGTGCATGCATGTAGACAGTGGGGCCTTTGGGGCACTGACAGGGGGACTGGATTTGAGGGTGGCATGACCTCAAAGGGACGTTGGAGTTTTGACCTTTCCTTGTTACTCCCCTGCAGTTACAGCAGCGGCGGTGAGGATGGCTACGTCCGCATCCACTACTTCGACCCCCAGTACTTTGAATTTGAGTTTGAAGTTTGAAGCACAGTCCCTGCTCCTTCCTTCATTTCCCCCCTTTCCTTTGAATGGTTTGTCATCCCCCAGTTCCCTCATGCAGCTGTGGCAGAGCCCAGGTTAGTCAGCTCCCATGGGAAGCAGTGGGTGCTGAGGTCATGCGTAAGCTGTGATGGGCATGGGAATGATGCTTCGTGGAGATAGCCTTGACGGCGTGTGGCCGGTAGGGATCAGTTCGCTTGCTGTCTGCTCTGCAAGCCACCAACTTCCTGCCCTCCTTGGGGATATTTATAAATCAGTGGGAAAATAAACTCCAAAGGAAATAATAAATATAAATCTTTCATAAACTGAGACAGTGCATCGTGGTTCTGCTGGTGGCTTGGGAAAAGCCCAGCCCAATGGTCTCTGCTTTTCCAGCTATGCTGGGTGACTTGCTCCCATACACTGGTGATACTGAGCCTTCCTAGCCTAGGAGGAGCTGGGACCTTGGACTCTCTTCCCCGGCTGTGGTCTAGTCCTGCTAGTTTAACGCCAGGCAAATAGTCAGAATTGCTTAGGCCATAAATAGGCTGGAAAACAATGACTGGCTGCTCTCTCCTTCCTGCTGGCACACATGCAATGTTGATTGCTTTGTCTGTGAGCCAGGCATGAGGCTGAGCCAACTTTTTCCTCGGGGGGACAGTTATTTCCTGCCCTGGCAAACGTTTGTTGCAAGCCCTTCCTCTCCCCTGCGTCCCTGTCCAGCCTGTATGTAGAGTGAGGGGGACTTGGAGCTTCTCTGCTCTCTGCTTGAGCCTGGTTCTAGGTATCGGTGTCTTGCTGACTGCAGCTCAGGTGGATATTGCCGCTCGGGCTGTGAGGTGTAGACTGGAGGGGGTTGAGGAGAATGGATCTAGCGTTTGACCTTTCTGGCTGCTTTGCAGTAACAGTGCTGGGGAGACACAGGCAAAACCTCCAGCCCAGCCACCCTGTGGGAGGAACCATCGAATGGAATTGCTGGACAAACTGATCTTCCTGGTACTCCCCAACCCTGCTCTCAAAGTCCATGTCTAAGCCTCTGGCCTGGTGCCAGTGAGGTTCTGGCTATCCTAGAGTAGAGTGAGGGCATGTATGGGCTGAATGGAGTCATCTCCCTGAGGAGCAGCCCACTGCTCCCAGGCACTGAAAGCAGGAGGAGACAATGTGAGAACAGTCCATTTTACTGTCTGTGCTTTGGTTATAACACCTTGAGGTAACCCACTGGCCTCTGCACCAGGCAAACTCAGTTCAGAGCCTGGCTTCGCAGTCCAGGCTTGCCAGGGCTCCAACAGAGCCTGTGACCAGCACAAAGCTCCAGGTGAAAAACAGCAGTTTGTTTTTTTTCCCCACCCCGGAGGAGGATGAAATGATGGATCCGGGGCCTGGCAGTGCCTGAGCCACCAGCTGTCCTGAAGCAACCTCCCCTCTGTTGTGGTAAGGTCAGTGGGGGAGTAGCAGCTGGGAATGAGCAGCACCATTGGTCCTCGTTGGTGTTTCGCTGCCTTCCACCAGTCGCTGGATTTCTGCCCAGGCCTCATCCAGGTACTGGGAGGAGCGGATCCACTGGAGGAACAAGCCTGCGGACACAAGCAGTCAGCACTTACTGCAGGGCAGTCAGGAGTTCTTGGCTACTGAAGGCAAAGCCCTTGCAGGGTGTGTGTGGTGGTGGGGAGGGAGCCTACAGAGCACTTACCCTGCCAGAGCTGCAGGCTCTGGGGTTCCACGGACGGCCAGATGACCAGGGCGTTGTACGAGTACAGGGGGTTCAGGTATTCCTTCTGCTGGTTGGGCTGGTTCAGCCAGGACCAGAGCGAGTGCGTTGTCTCCTTCACTTTACACAGGGACCTGCAAGTGTGTGCAGAGAAGGGACCTGGAGGTTGGCTAGTGGCTGCCTGATTTAGGGCAAAGCCCTGTCAGTGACTTGGGCTTATGGCTACATGCTGGGACTGTCAGTTGAGATCTCAAGTCCCTTCATGTGGGTAAGAAACTGGGTGGCAGTTATTTTCCCCAGGAGGTGTCGCCCACAGGCTGCTGCCTGGCAGGGGGACAAGTGGCTTTGTGTCCACAGGGAAAGGGGATCTTGTGGGGGTAGGAACATCCCTGCCCTTAGGTGCAGCTCTTGGCTGTTTCCATTGAGACATGTTTGCTCTGCGTCAACTAGTGGGCATGTGCTGTGTCAGATCCCTTCCATCCTGCGGCTCGGCTTCCCTAACCCAGGCCACTTTGGCAGGTCTAAGGGATCGAGGGACTAGCCAGGTGTGAAAGCCCAGGCCCTGCCTCCCTAGTGGCTTGGCAGCCTCTGTTGTGGGCAGTGAGAGCAGGACACACGAGGGTGCAATATGTATAACTGGAACACCTGGTTTGTGCCTTCACTCCCAGGTGATCCTTCAGCTGGGTCCAGCTGTGGAGATCAGATAACTAGCAGGCCCTGGTGGGATGAAGAGGTCAAGGGGCCTGGGGGACATCCCTACTACCCCATGGTGCATATGCTGATGCTCCAGGCTGGCAGCAAGTCCACCCCTTCTGGGACTTGGGGTGGAGAATGCCATCCTCATGCCCCCCGCCCAGGGCCCTGCCAGGGTGGGGGCTGCACTTGGCACTTGCCTTTCCTTCTCGCTGTTGCACAGGAAGGTCCCGTAGGCGGAGGCGTAGCTGTTCTCGAACAGCGCCAGCAGGAGGCGCTCGCTGAACTCCAGGGAGAAGGGGAACTGGCGCCCCAGCTGCCCCACGCAGTCCAGGAAGAGGAGGAAGACGGGGGCTTCCTGCTTGAGCCGGGCGTGCGAGTACGCGGAGTGGGCGCAGCGCAGGTGAAACGGATGTCCCGCCTGTCCAACAGGGAGCAGGGGCCCCGTAAGCTGGGGGGCACCAGACACGGGCTGCCTTGTTGTTCCCAGGACAGTGGGGGCCTTGGGGGGTCAGGACTGGGGTGGGGCAGGTCTCATGGGTTGCCATGCAGTCCCAGGGGTGAGATGCCGCCCTCCTTCCCCACAGCCAGGCTGCTCCGGGGCAGTGTCACCTCCCCTCCCCTTCATGTACTGTCCCCTGGCTGAGGAGCTGGGTTACCTGGATCCACTCCCGCTCCAGCAGGTGCTGAAATCCCACCAGCGTCCTACAGTCTGGGTCCAGGATCACTTGAGCCAGTGCTGTCACCAGCAGGGTGGTGTCTGTGCCCTCGGCTCCATGCACCAGGATGCAGGCCTCTTCCCTGAAAGCAAAGGGAACAGGGTGGGTGACAAACATGGGCACTGCCCACGAGAGGGGCAAGCTCGTGCCAGGGAGGGAGGAAGCAGCAGAGCAGGGCTGGTGGTGGGGAAGCCTGTGTCTGCCTGGCGGGGCTGCCCCTACCACAGCTGCACAGGCAATCTGGGCCCGTGGGGAGCATGAACGCACCCCACGGGTGCAACCCTGCCCCGCTCACTGACCCAGGCTGGCTTCTGCTCAGCCAGGATTTCTGCAAGGGGAAAGCCAGGCCACTACCTACAGAGGGAAGTGGGGCTCCCAGCATGGCAGTCCCAGCTTTGTCCCTCCTTGGCCCCATTCATCTCACCTCTCCATGCACTGTGCGGCCAGGCAGGCAGTGCTCAGCGCTGCCTTGACGTGGGACAGCCACTTGGAGCTCTCCAGCTTGCTCAGCCAGCGGTCCATGCCGAGGGACGGGTCATTGCAGGCTTCCACCAGCTTCATGAAGCTCTCTTGCAGCGGGCGGCCCCTGCTTGGGGGAGGGTGGGAGAGAAGCTGTTGGGTCCTGGCTCAGAGCGGGGTGATGCTTTCTGGGCTCCTGCCTGGAGTCTGCGCCAGCCAAGGGGAGGAAGGAGCCTCCACCCCTGGTCCCCGGGGGGTGATAGAGTCAGCATAGCCAGATCATTAGTCAGCCATGTAACGAGCGGGCCAGGGCTCAGCCCAGCCTCATGCCATGAGGCAGGGGCTAATATTGAACGTTAGTGCCATTCCTTCCCATAGCCCAGCCCAGAGATCCACATGCACAGAGTGGGAGGTGGATTTTCCCCCAGCCTCAGTGCTAGGTGCTGCACGGGATCAAGTACTGACCTCTCCAGCGGCCTGTGCAGCCTCTTCCAGCCGAGATAGGCAGCTTTGGGCTCAGAGCCACCTCCCGTCATGCGGGCCTGCTTGGCAGCCTGGGCTGAGCGGGTGTCGATGACAAAGCCACGCGCCCTCCCGCACAGCGCAGCTTTGAGCAGCAGCTCATCCTCCTGGCACCGCTTTTTGTTGGGGCCCATCAGTGGCTGGCCACTGCGGAGCATCACCTGTGGGGCAGAGATGCTGGGGCAGCTGGGCTGATCCAGCCCCTCCCCTGTGCCAGCCTAATGAGACAAGGAGCACCCCCAGCCTCATCTGCTTGTCACTGTGGTGTCTAGAGAAAGCCCTACTTGCCTTATTCCAAGCTAAGCAAGGGCTGGCCTGTTTGGTGGCTGAATGGGAGACACCCCCCTCCCGGGTCTACAGGGTCAGGGTGGTCAGTGCTGGGTGGGATCCTGTAGTTTGACTCTGCCTCCTTGTCCGTCTGCTAGGGGATGGCTTTCTTTGCTGTTTTGTAGACTGACTTGTTATACTGTTGCAGCGAGCTGCATAACAAACTGTGCCACCCCAGAAGTGGCTGCATTTTGATCCCTCCTGATGGATCATTTTGGCTGCGAGGTGGTTTGGGGTCTCCAGAGAGGCTCCCACATAAATGTAGTGCCCTAGCTGCTGGGCGGAGAGGTTCCCTGCCTGGGTGCGGCTGTGGTGCCAGGAAGGGAGCTGGAGCGGGAAGGGGATGGCACTCACGGTCTGGTTCTTCTTGTGATAGTAGCTGAGGACAGGGAACCGGCCCCCCTGGCGGAAGTGGGCGATCTTCCTCAAGGCTTCATCATCCACTACGGCTGGCACAATGATGGCTGATGGGTAAGTTGGGCAGGTGGCAAAGTCCCTGTTCACGCTGCTCAACCTCCAAGCACTTGTCTAGAAAGGGCAGCCGTGTCAAGCTTTGTCCCCAGGGCTTTCACCCCGGGGAGGGGAATGGTGCACATCTCCTACCTAGCCCTAGGATAGCCCCCTGCAGAGGCCAGCTCAGTTTCCAGGGGCCCTGGCTCGGGGGACTTGCCAAAATAGCTGGGGAAGTGTATGATGCAGACACCTGGCCCCGTGGAGCTGGCTTGTCTCCTGCAGGTCCGCAGGCAACCATTCAATGAGGGTAAGTGTCTGGCTGCTGATCTGGCTGGGCAATGAAGGTCTCCATATCCCTTCTTCCTGCCCAGAGCCAGCTCGGGCCTGTTTCAGTGTGGTCCAGGCAATCTTCATTCAGATCAGACCCAGCTGCTGCCTTCCCTATCCCAGCCCACCAGGTGTGGCCCATCTCCATTCTAGTGCAATGCCAGCCTCCCTGCTCTGTGCGCCAGGGGTGAGGGGACAGGTCTGGAATGACCCAAGCTGCCCTGGCCTGCCATGTGTGTGTAGTGCATGCAGGGCTCGATCCCTCCGCCTCCCACACGCTGCCCTCGCTGCCTGTCCCTGCTCACCTCCGCGACTACCTGTTGGTAGTAATGGTGGGGTAGGTAGAGATGCCAGCCCTGCTCCAGCTTCATGCTGTGGGGTCTGTAGAAGAATGGGTACATCATCATCACCGACTCCACGGACGAGAGGGCCTAGGGAAGGAGCAGAGGAGTTGGTCTCTAGGTGAGTTATATGGACCTATGTGTCCACCCAGTGCTCGCCACGTGCCAGGCCAGGGCTAGAGCAGAACCATGCTGGATCTGCAATACAGCTGCTGGGGGTCACCTGCCAGAGGACACTCCCGCTCCCTGCCCCTGTGTTCTGCATGTGCAGCCCACAGCTGAGTCAGGACAGCACGTGCTATGGGGTCTGATCCCTGTCTCTCTTTTCCAGTCATGGCACAGACTGGGCATTGGCTTGGCTGGGAGCAGGATGGGGTTCCTAGTGAATTTTCAGGGCACAGCTCTCAGCTGGGGTATGGTTAGGTGCCCCTGCCTGATGCTGCTGGGCTGAAGGGATGGGCCCAGCAGGTGCCTCTGAAAGCCAAAACCTAGCCCAGTGCAAACAGAGCCTGGGGAGCTGCCTATTTATCATTAACACAGGTAACTGCAAAACAAACACCAGGCGGGCACAGCTGGGGCTTGCTCTTGCTAAATGTCAGGTACTGCTCTGAAGTGCCTGGCCGGCTGTTGCCCTTCCCAGATGGCACCAGCTAACCTCGATAGAGCTGGCAATGTTGAGACATTCCTCCATGCCTGGGATCTCCAGCTGCAACACCCGCAGGTCCTTGCACTTGAGCGTGATGGTGCCCGAGGAGCTGGCAAACCTGTGAGAAGCCAGATATGGGGAGGGCACAGAGTCAGGTGCTCTGTGGCTGTTTCTCCCCCTCCCCTTCTCAGGGAGTCCAGCTGCTGCTGGTGACAGCCTGGATCAGTGTGTGTGCACGGGGTGGGGGGGGAACATAAGTGTATGCGTATATGAGGAAGCGCGTGATGAACACAGGTGATAGACGCAGGCAGGTAAGAGCGTGTGTGAAGACACTGTTAGGGACCCTATTGTTCAAGCGGCTGGGCAGAGAGATCAAGCTGGCTTGGGAGAGGTCTGCACTGGGCTCTAGCTTGTACTGCTTGTGCTCAAAGCTGGCACGGGGGATGAGTGACTTGGAAGGGGAGGGGGAGCTACGTGTACCTAGATGCAAAGTAGGAGCGTGTGCCTCATGATGAGGGGCATGTTGCTATGACCAGAATCACCAGTGCATGAGAGTTAAAGCACGTGTGACCACACGTGTCAGAGCAGCTGTGGTTTCCAGGCAGATCAGTTATCTGTGGCTACAGGCTCATCCCTGACTGCTAACATGAAGGTGCTGTTTGCTTTCTGCCAGCCCTGCCTTTCCTCCTGCCTCATTGCACCACGGGGCCCAAACCCACTGCCTTTGCCCTAGTCCTCACCGAAGCAGCAAGGCCGGAGTTGTTCTCATCTCTCTGCGGGGTGCAAGCTGTTAAAGCAAGAGCAGCAGACAAGGGAGAGGCGGGCACCATGGCTGCCTGGACAGGGAGCTGGGCTCCAGTTAGCACAAAGCCAGGCAGGTTAGCAAGGCAATACAGGGTTAAAAGCCAAACCTGGTCTCTCGTGGAGAGCTGTTAGTCCTGGTGCTTTGGTACCAGCCTAGGTTCTGAACACTGAGTCACAGAAAAGAAGAGAGGTTACTGGGCAGGCCTCAGGGTTACTGCCCCTGATGGCAGGTTTGGGGGCCGGGGGAAGCAGAGAGTGGAAGGAGAGGAGAGAGTGAATTGTCCTGCGTCCAGCTGGGCTCATGGGGACACTTGGCACTGGGACCTGAAGTTTGGGATCCCAGCCAGGGCCCCATGGCCTGCCTGGTGCAGAGCCAGCTGGATTCCTGGGAAGGACTCGGGGCACTGAAGGGGCTGGGAGGCTGCACGAGTGGTGTGAATGCTGAGCAGCAGGGACATCTTTTGGACCCCTGCTTCCTGCCTTGTCCACTGTGATCTTGGGTGCCTGAGTGTCGGGGCCACGGGAACCCTCCTAGCTCCAGCCATGCTCAGACTCCCTCCTCCCCTTACTCAGCCGGGCGGGCTTGGAAGCCACTTGGCTGCCTTTCTGCACCAGCTGCAGGGATGTCTCCACCTTCAAGGAGGTGGGAGAAGGATCAGCTTGAAGAGGTTACATGAGAGGATGAGAGGGGAAGGGCTGGGGGCCTGATTTGAGGAACTGTGGGTTGGGGTGGGGGGTGACTTCATTACAGGCTGCTCTGCCACAGGGCAGGGGATCTGCCAGGCTCATCTCTCCCGCTGGTGAGGCGTTTGGCAGGGGCCGGGGGAGACTCGCCTCTTCTCTACGGCGTCCACGTTCCGGATGAGAAGCCAGAGCTCCACTGTCCCCTGCTCCCCATCCCCGCCAGGCTGGGACGACAGGAGCAGGTGATGGCTGGTGATGCACAGGGTCCCCTTGACCGCTGGGACCCCGGGGCCCGAGAGCAGCACGTTCTCCACCTTGGCAGTCTTGATCAGCTCGGAGAACTCCATGGGGACGGGCTAAGCCCCCGCGGGGAGTGGGGTCACACGGTTTCACGTGGCTGTTCCCCAGGGGCAGCCGGCCCCCAGCACCTGGACAAAGTCCTTCTGCAGCCCCAAAGAGGAAGAAGGAGATGCAGACTGAGATGGGAACAGCCCACGGCAGGCACGTAGCTCCTCTTCTTTGCAGACTCCCTCCCCAAGCCCCAGCCAGGGCTCTACCATCTCCCTCCCTCCCTCCCCTGGAGCTCGGCAGTGTCAACACTACTTCACAGAGGGGGAAACTCAGGCATGCACAGGGACATGACTTAATACCCAAGAGGAAAGCAATGGCAGAGCCGGATTGATACTCTGGAGTTCCCATTTCCTAGGCCCGTACTCGGGCTGAGAAACTGGTCCCCACCCTGGGCCTCTTCTCTGTATATCTATATCGTTGGCAATGCGCTGCTCATGGTCCCTGCCAGCAGGATGGTTTAAAGGACCTCATGGCATCTGGGTATGTTTAAGCTTCAGGTGAAAATGCAGCCAGTACCTTGCAAGAAGCAACTTAATCATCACGTGCATGGCAGCGGGGCCTGTGGACCCCCTTGCACCAGGTGCCATGCAAACACCAGAAAACCCCTTCACAATGTAAGATTCCTCCTCTGAAGAAGGCTCTTTCTGCAAACTTCCCCCCCAGCCTGCTACTCACCTCTATCTTGGGCCCCATATCAACACCCTTCTAGGCTGTGTTGGACCTAACGGGATCCAAAGCTGCCATCCTTTGATGGGCTTGGTACGGGCAGATCAGCCTGAACCTCTCGGCTGTACAGAAGTGCTGGGGCAGCCTCTGTTCTGCTCCCAAATCCACCAGCTGGCTGAGGAGCCTCCTCTTGAGGAATAAGCAGCGGCAGGAAGCCAGAGCACCCCGAAAGCCTGGGATACAGCCACGGTCCTTACCCGCTGTGGGATCCGCAGTCCTCACGCTGCAACTCAGGACCCGGAGCAGCAGAAGTTTGTCACGGCAGGTCGTGCTGCAGAGGAGCCCGCACCTATAGCCCTCGTGCTGGGAGCAGAGCAACAAAATGCCGCTTTGTCAGGACGCGACATGCAGGAGTGCACAGGTGCCGCGGCCTGGGCGGGCGACGCAGCTGCCTATGGGGCGAGCGGGGGCCCTCCGAACAGCTGCCGCGCTGGAGAAGTTGGTGATAAGCGAGGCATGTTTGGAGGCGCTCGTTGGGAAATACAGTAACAGGAACTGAGCAGGCTGCGTGTGGGTGAGGCTCAGAAACAGAAAGAGTGCGAGAGGGAGGATGTGGGGTTTAAGGTGGCCTGGCTGCTCTGGCCGGGCTTGGGCAGCTGCAAGGAGCCCAGGGTCGGGGGTCACTGGCCCGGCACTGACCTGCAGCTGGGGGGTGTCAGTCTGGAGGCTCTTCCCATGTGTCCTTCTGGGGACAAGGGAGTTCCCAGTTCTGGGGAAAACAGGAACAATTGCACTGGTGACACGGGGCAGTTGAGGCCTTGGTGTGGACGATGTGGGAGGCTGAGCTCCTTCGTCCCTGGGGCATTGCGTGGGCCGAAGAGGAAGGAGGCCTTTGAGGCAGAGTCTCTCCACCTCTAGCCAGGATCCCTCCTCTCTGGAGGGAGCTGGGGGCCGGGGTGGTGCAGAGAGGGGCACGGCACCTACGAGGAGCCCTGCATGTCCGTCCTGTTGCCCCAGGGCCCTGCCCAGCCTTCTTAGCTGCCCGGAATCCTCCGGGACTTGGGCCAAGCCTCCGTTGCCCGCAATCCCCCAGGGCACCGGCGCCGTATTCTCTGTTGCCCCAAGCCCCGGGGCTCCTGCCACACTGCAGAAGGGCAGCCCCTGGCACCCCGCTGTCCATGCAAACCTCTGGCTTCCTGTGCTGGGCATTTTCCCTGCATGTCGACCAGCCCTTGTCCTTGGGGTTGGGGCTGGGGCTGGGGCTGGGGCTGGGCAAGGCTGCGTGCAGCCTGCTCTCCCTCCACCTGTCTCTGGAGGGCGCCCAGTCTCTCCAGGGCCCCTGGGTTCCACCTTAAACACGGCACAGCTGTGGAGAAGCAAATAAGCCACTTGATAAAGTGACCTGGCCAGGAGCCCTGAGCACAGCTGGAAGGGGGTGACCAATAAGAGCCCTCCAAGGGCAGGATTTCTCATTAGATTTATAGGATGAGAAGGCCCCGGGCTCACGCTGCAGCCTGGGAACCAAGGGAGCTCTTCCCTGCCCCAGTTCCTTGTAAACTCGCAGGCACCGACTTCTCCATCCCTCCGGATTCGGTGCCTGCTCAGTGTGGTTGCAGTGGGGACCTAGCAGGAGGGAGGACAGGCCTGTGGGCATCTCACCTAGGATGCCCGGGGAGCAGACAAGTGCCACGCCAGGTGCAGGGATGCACAGCTGTACCTTCACCTTCCTGCGGTGGCAGCAGCCTTTGCCATGCCACCCCACCCCGCTGCCTGCAGCGGTTCTCAAGGGCTCTGTAGCAGCCCTTCCATCTTGAATCTCTCCTCTCTCGCATGCTTTGTGAGTCTGACCATCGATTGAATGCTGAGAGGCCTGGAGAATTGGAGGCACAAGCGTTGTGCAGCAGAGGTAGCTTTCTTTTCCTCTTGCTGCAAAGCTGTCCTGTGTCCCTGGTGACCTCTCGACTCTGCCTTGATCTCAGAGCTGGGTGGGGAGTCGGTGTCATTTCTGCGCTGATAATAGACCGGGAAGGGAAGGAGTGTCTGCGGGATAAATTACTTTACACTCCTCCGGGCCCTTATATCCTCATTGAAACTTCCTTTCAAAGAACAGGGTGTCTCCTCCCAGCTGGAGACAATAATACAGAAACAAATCCCTCTGCAGGCCTCTGGCTAATTAAAGTTCCTGCTCGTTTATAATTATCACTGGAGTTCCAAACCTTTATTGTTCCAGGGATAAATAACTTGCTCGCAGCTCATGCACACGCACGCAGACCCAGCCGGCTAGCCTGCGGGTGACACTGCTCTCGTCCTCCTGTGTCCCGCCATGTCCTTCAGCCACCTGAAGTTCAAGGAGCTGGGAGAAGAGGAGTCCAACTCGGATGAGGAGAGCCTGGACAGCGTGAAGGCCCTGACAGCCAAGCTGAAGCTGCAGACCAGGAGACCCTCCTACCTGGAGTGGAAGGCCAGGGTGCAGAGCCAGTCCTGGAGGAACGGGGCCAAGGAAGCCACCATCGGCTTGCTCAAGGAAGAGCAGAGTGGAGACGTGGCTCCAGAGGGGAGTCCTGCCCAGAGGGCGTCGGGCGGTATCTGTGGGTTTGCCACGATGGACGATGCTCTGGAGTGGCTCAGGAAGGAGCTGGTGAGTACCGCCAGCAGCTCTGCTAGGCATGTGGCCTCTTGGAGAAGAGGGGGATGGAGAAGGCAGGGAACCTGGATCCAGGACCCCATGGATGCTGACTGCCGGGCTCAGCTTGGCATCCCCCAGGGCTGCAGGGAAACAGAGAAGATGGCAGGGAGGGAAAGAGCCCCTGCCTTGGGCTGGGAGCTCAGCAAGTCCCCTAGTACCAGGCCCGGCTGCCATCACACCTGTGGCCTGCGGGTGTCCATTTGAAGAGCAGCACCAGGCTAGATCCTTCTTCACGACCTCGAGCTTCTGCAGCCTCCTGCTCCTCCAGGCAGGACTCTCAGCCCAGCTGGCCTTTGGCATCTTGTGGTCGATACCCCCGGGAGCATTTTGAGGGGTCTAAATGGCCGTTTTGGTGCCCTCCCCAGGGCTCATAGGGCACTTTGTCTGCCTGGGTGCATCTGCGCGTGAGCTGCGTGTTCCCCGCTGTGTCAGGGCGGGCTGCTTCCTCTGCTCTCCTGGGAGGCTGGGGCAGATGCGACCCAATTTTGGTCTGACCCATTTTTTGGTGCCCCGCGGCATCACCCCTCTCAGCTGGGGCTGTCCCAGTGCATTCTGGGACTGTCGGGTGGCAGGGTCAAGGGCTTCCAAAGGAACGCTGTGGCAGAGCATCGTGGGATGGAGCCGTAGAGGGCAGGAGGATCGTTGAACCAGAGCAGCTGCAAGGAGCGTGGCTTCATCCCATGCTAAGGAGAAATCACTGCAGCCAGGACTGATTCGTCCAGACCCGAGGGAAACGCCCTGCAGCAAGTGCTTATCAGAGGCCTGGGGCAGCTTTCACATGGGTGTGTGCCGCTCCATGTTTGACCCAGCTGTTGGTGCCATTCTGCTTTGCCTTGAGTGATCTGGACGTGTGTGTGTGTGTGTGTGTGTGCGCACGCACGTACATTGATGTGCGACTCTGGCATTTGCCTCTGTGTCAGTGTGTCCTTGTCTGTACATCTGCAACGACGTGTCTCCTTTTTTGTCCACGTGTCTGTGATTCCTTGTGCATATCTGGCTGCCTATCTCGGAGTGTGTGTGTCTGTACAGCTGTGTGTATGTGTGCCCATCTGTGTTTTTTCCATGCATGACTCCTACCTCTCTGTGTGTTTGTGTGTCTGTCCACCTGTCTACCCCTGCCCATATCTCCGTGTGCATCTCTGGGCCTCTGTCCCGCTTGCTGTCCACGTCCCGCTGCATCTTCTCATCCTGCTGCCCACAGGGCTCTGCTGGGAGTGTGTCGACAAAGCCAGCTGCAGGCATGGCTCTCTATGCAACGCTTAACCCAGGCAGCCTGGAGCCACAATCACTCTAGAAAGGCGGCAGCATGTGCTCAGGGGCCCCCAAGAGCTGCTATGGAGTTGAAGCCCGCGAGCTGTGCTACAGTACGTGTGCTAGCTAGGAGAGAACGGGCAGTGCAAGGCTTGGGTGGGCATGCTGTGGTCATGCCATGCTCTGCTGTGCAGACCTCCCTGCTGGGGCTCCTCTGTGTCTGGCTCCAGCACAGTCTCAGTGGTGGCTCCCTCATGGCTCCTCTTTCCCGCTGCACAGCAGGAGATGCAGGCCGTGGACCACCAGCTGGCACGGCAGCTGATGCAGCTGCGAGGGCAGATCCACCGGCTGAAGGTGGAGCAGGCCTGCCACCAGCACAAGGAGATGCTGGACGATGCCACCTTCGGCCTGGAGGGCTGTGAGGAGGACTCGGACCTGCTCTGCAACATCCCACCCAAAGCTGCCTTCCTCCTCTCCACGCCGCTCAAGCACATCGGCGTCACCCGCATGAACATCAACTCCCGCCGCTTCTCCCTCTGCTGAGGCTGCCAGGCTCCCCCGGGCTGTTGAGGGGCACCGCCTGGCCCTGAACGTGGGCAGCTGTACCACGCATCCCTGCAGAGATGCTCAGGCTGAATGTAAGAACCCAACAGGCAGGTTGGAGGGAAAACAGTGCGGGGTTGCAGTATTGCAGGCTGCTGGCTCTGGCATCCTGCTGCCTTGCTTGCTCCTATTGCCCAGAGGTGCCTCATCTCTCCTTGCTGAGTGTCCCTTGTTGATGATACTGCAACAGCTTGCTTGAAACCAGACCTGGCAAGACTGGGCCAGGGCTGCCCTGATCGCCTGGGACCTGAGGCATGGATGGAGCTGGGGAAGTTGGACTCGCCTCACTTCTGTCTTCAGTCCTCAGCTCAATCCCTTGCAACTGGAGGGATGTGCGCTGCAGAGGCTGGCGGGCAGCAGGGGAGCTGAGCCCTGCCTACTCCCATCACATTTGGCCTATTATCTGCCTCCTGCTGCCCTGCGGTGGCTTTTGCCCTCTCGCTCCTCAGTCCCTGCTCCCGGGGGGTCTCTGCTGTATGGAGCAGCATCTCCAGGATGCACAGAGCTCCGCATTTGCCATAACCCCTGAGCCTGCACAAGGTGAGCAGCCCTGCAGCCATGTGGCGTGCACAAGGCAAGCCAACTCTTCCCAGCAGCATGTGATGCTGTCATGGGAGGGGAGGAAGCATCGCTGCTGAAGCATCTGCGGCTGCAGTGACGCATGCCACATGGCTGGAGGCTGCTTGCTGATGCTGAAAAGCATGAGCAAACTTTCCATGCAGCAAGAAGAGAAGGCGGTGCAAAGGCGGCTTGCCTTCTGTGTGTCACATGTGCTAGTGGCCTCCTTGCCACCCCCAGAGCTGTCTGATCCCAGGCTTGCACAGACAGGGCCTCCCTCCCCTGTGCCACACACCTACGTCGAAGCCCCTAGTGCCGGCCTGACTCGGCCTGGGGATTACTTCTGATCAAGCCATCTAATCCATGTTCCCCCAGCCTTGCGCTGAGTGGGCCGGTCCCCTCCCCCTCCACCTCCACACTGCTTCTTGGTAATGGCGGAGGAAAAAGGCGGCGAGCACCTTGGGTTTGTCACTCGCTTCCGCTACATGCTGCTGTTTCCATTCGGTTTTGCTGAGGCCTCAGATGAGAGGGGTGCCGGCTCTATGGGGAGCCAGTGAACAGCCCCACCAAAGCAGGTGCCTTTGTTTGGCCACGTGCATGGCAGCTTCTGTGTTTCATGTTCTCTCTGGCTTGTGTGATGACTTACCTGCAGCTTGGGGACTTCGGTTTTGTTTTTCCTCAGCCCCGCAGGCGCTTGCAGTCCCCACCCTGACCCCTTGTTTGGGAAGCTGATTTTTCCAGGGAACGTTCGTTCCTTTGGCTGAGAGTGATGAACCCTGACTTGACACTTTGCCGCGGATCTTGGAGCACGGTGCCAGATCTGTGGAAGCTCACAGCCTCTGCTGAGGGCCGTCGACCAAAGAGGGAGGCTGCTGCTGATGGAGGCATGGGTTGAAAGTAGTACAGCCTGCTCCAAGACACCTGCAACTTGGGGACAGAGCTGGGAGGAGAATCCAGGGGCCCTGTGTCCTGACCCCCTGCTCGGCTCAGACCCTTAGCGAAGGAGCTGAACCCTGAAACCCTGGCTGCAAATTTTCAGCCCTAAGTCCCACAGCCTCTGTTAGAACAAATTGCTGCTGGTGCAGTAAAGAAGCCTGCTAAGGATCTTCTGGCTCCAAGCCTTCAAAGAAAATACAGGAAGATTGTCAGAGCTTCACAACACTGAGATCCCACTGACCTTTTTCAAACAAAAAAGCGTTCTTATTTTGCCTTGAAAAATGGACTGAGTCCCTGTCCCCCCCACACCCAATGCTTTATCATAAAAGCAGTCAATATTTTTGCCATTTTTCAGTGTTTTTGATGATAAAAGAGGATGCTAGATTTTTTTTTTTTTTTCATGATCTGTGCTGGCAGATGGGAAGTGGGTGCTGATGGTTTTGTCGCTGCTTTCCAGTTGCAGAGAGGCTGAAAGCCTGACATATTCTTTGCAAAGCGAACCTGTCTTTTTTTTTGTACAGTTGCCATAACAGCAATAAAAATGATTGATTGATTGCTTTGATGGTATTTATTTATTTTTTGGTCCTGAAATATCCTAAAGCAGGTTTGCAAACTTTTACGCCGTGCAAGAGGCTTGTTTTGCCTACCACTGAAACGCAGCCTGCTTTGGGGTGGGTCAGAGCAGCATGTTAACAAAGCAGAGCAACATTAGGACAGGAAGTGAAGCTGAAACCACATCCAGTCAAACTGGAAGAGGAATTCAGGTCTGCAGGTACATGAGCAGGAGTCTGGACAGGATACCAAGTTGCTAGGTCAGCTGGGTGGAAGTGCTGAATTGAGGGTGTTTTAATTATTGCCTCCTGCTCAAGCTGCCCTTTCCGCTAGCCCCCTGGAGAAGTCTCTCCGAAGACAGCTAGCCAGAGCCCAAGCTAGAGCAACATCCATACGCGCGTTGCTGCCTGCGGGGCAATTGCTGGCATAAAGATCGCAGCTGGGCTATGGGGAAGATGGAGGCGCTTCACTCCTACGGTTGCCCTTGTTGTTCAAAATGCCCCTGACATGTGCCCGGGCATATCGCCCTGTATGGAGGTCGTGGCCCCCTCATCGAGCCTCTCTCCCCTGTTGCTCTGTGTCATATTCTCTTGACTTCCTGCCTTCCTTCTTGCAGAGCCGGCTGTTGGTACCTGTGGCTTTGCATTTGATCTCACAAGCCAAGACAATAGCTTTGTGGTTCTTGTGCTGTCAGCACTGGCAGAGCGTAGGGCTTCGGCAAGGTAACATCGAGTGCCTCTGAAGATGATGTCTTCGCTGCTCAGCCCCTCTCTGGAGAGGAAAGAAGAAAGCCAAACCCTTGCTCTCTGTCAGAGAAGGCTGGCTCAGTTCCCCTGTGGCTCATTACCTGCCTCTCTCACGGCCTGGCATATGTTTGCTCTCTGGGTGGCGATTCTGGAGACGCGTGTCCTGGTGCCTCTGCCACCGACTGGCTGTGTGACCTTGCCCATGTTCCTTCCTTTTTCTGTGCCCCTGTTTCCACTCCCACCTTTTATTTTTCCCCTTCGTTTTAGTCCGCAAGCATTGCAGGGCAGTGGGTTTTCTCTCGCACCACGCGTGCAAAGTTTGGGGCCTTGTGCAAGCGGTGAAAGGTGAGGTATGATGGAGGACTGCTGGGGAAGAGAAATTCCGATTCATTTCTCAACAGAAGGCAGGCTAGATTTACATCTTATAGACTAAGTTGGAGATAAGCTTTTGGTAAGCACAGGGCGCTCTCACTTATTGACACTGGGCTTTCAGGACATGTTCGTACCTCTGAACCCTTCACCCTCCTGTCAGACCTCACCCTCCTTGGCCTTGTCTACCGAAGTCCAAGCAGAACTGCTGAGTTAGCAGCCAAGCTGCAGCTGCTTGTGGTCTGCTCTTGGTGGTGTGTTCAGGCCCTGGTACTTAGCACATCACCCAGTCACCGTGCAGGACGTGAGTCAGGGGTGCATTTTGCTCTGTCTGCTGGTAACGGTTATCGCTTGTGCGGTACAGCACAGAGTAGGGAGAGATCATGACATGGAAAATGATTCGGCAGTCCTGCTACAGCTCCAGGGGCACAAGTTCAAGTCTTATTCTGGACGTGTGCCAAAGGCTGCCCCTCATCAACCAAGGTGGGTATGGACACCGGACCATTCAGGCTGGAGAATCATTAGAATTGTGTGTTTTGGGTAGGGGGACAGACTGGCTTTGATCTTGTTGAGAGTCTATTGGCATCATTGTGCTGGGACCTTGGATTCGTGGCAAAGATAAAGAGACCCCTTTAACAGGAGAGCAAGGCCAGTGCCGTGGTGAGAGAGCTATCCAGGGACTCGGGGTCAATTCCCTGCTCTGCCAAGTGGGGCTTGTGTGACCTTGGTCATGTTGCTTAGCCCCCCCACCTATGCCTCAGTTCCCCGAGGGGAAATGGCACCTTCTTACCTTGCAGGGCTGCTTATCCTCAGTGATGCCAGGGACTGGGGCCATGGAGAGAGTTCCAGTTTTGTGTGCATCGGGGCGTGGTCACCCGAACTCGGATCTTTTAAACTTTTGCATTGCCCTCCTGATATGCGCAGCATATCACTTGGCGCCTAATCAGGATGTAGGCCAGAATTCACCCCCACACCCCTACCTTCCCCCACATGTGCACTCTTAACATCCTCTCTTTACAAGACCAGCCGAAAGCATCTGCAGCACGCCGGGAGCTGCACGTCTCTCACTGGACTTCCCTGCGGGGTGGTGGGTGGCAGTGGGGAGATGATACCCAGGCGGTGACGGTGCCCCTCTGTACCAGCAGATTCCATCTTTAGAACGACGGGCCTGCGGATGGCAGGAAACCTCCCTCGCTAGCATGCTGTGGTCGGGCGAGTGCTGAGAACAAACTTCTAGAGCTTGCTCATGAGATCGCAGAAGACAGGAAATCAGGGAAGGCAGAGTGCGAGAGCGAGCGAGTGAGACCGTGCTGCTGCCATTCCCTGATGTGAGGACAAGCTGGGCTGCTGTCCAGGAGGTTGTATCCATGGTCTACACCCTAAGGATGGAGACTAGCATGCAACTGGGAAGGTGCTGTCACTCACTGGCCATGGAAATCTAAAAGCAGCTCAGCTCCATCTCACGGCAAGCAGGTAAGGGAAGGGCTGGGGCCGTGTTGGGTGAAAAGAGCCGTGCCTTCGGGCTGGGATCTGGGGATTGCTGTCATGAGCGGGCATGGAGTGGCACTGGGGTCTGTGCCAGCTCTTCCCTGGCTGGGAAGCGATGGTTCCTCTGGGGAAGAACGATGTCTTTGGGGAAGGACTTGCTTTTTGGTGGGGGTGAAGCGAGACTATAAAATGGGAAATGAGTCCATCACTATGGTATCAGGCCAGTACACAGAGGAGTCTGGCTGCTTAGGCTGGTCACTGTTGGGGTACGGGGTCCTGTTTGAAAGACCTTTGGACAGAAAGACCCATGTTTGCCGTTGAGCTGTTTGAGTTCTTGAGTTGCTGCCTCTAACACAAGCCCTCATCTCCCTGCCAGCCCTCCCCAAATCCTACTAAAACTGCTTTCTAAGGGGATCCCCAGAGAGACTGTCCCCAGCTGGAGTGAGGGCAAGGAGTCTAGTGAGTCACTGCTTCCAAAGTCCCAACTTCCAGGGCAAAGTGAGGAGGAAAGCTGGGAGTTGTGCCCTGAAACGTCAAGCGCTCTGTCTAATCTGCCTTGGATCTCCCCGTTCCTGAGCTGCCAGCCTTGAAGCTGGGAGCAGGCTGGAGGGTCTGGTTGGTATGGGGCTGTTTTGTCTTGGAAGTGAGGAGCAGGGCAAATCCGTGTCTGCAGTGAAAGGACACTGAATAACCCCTGGCTGGTATTGTGGTCTATAGGTTCTTAGATGCAGACTCAGTGCAGAACTGCATGCTTGTCTGAGTTCAAACCCAATGCGGCTGCAAACCCAGGCTGTGTGTCCAGTTCTCCAAGCTGCCCCCTTTGAAGTTGCCTCTCTGCTGACCCCAAGCCACAAGAAATAAGAGAAGGGACCAAGGGGCAAAATTCAAGCTGTGTGGATCCAAGATTTCGAGTCGGGACCATAGACGGGGTAGCTTGGCAGCTGTGAGCCTGAGGCTGCTCAGACTGTTATCCAGCCCCCCTGGTCTTGCAAAATTTTCTGGGAACTGGATCTGTTGGGGCTGACCTCACTGGTCATACGAGAGACAGGGGGGTCATTCCTGTGGGCAAATCAGCACTGTCCGAGGCTGAGGGTTGGCTTTTGTGGTGAGCAGTGACTACACTGACTGCCGCGTTTTGCTTTTTAAATGTGGGCGCTATTGTCCTTGGTCAAAGCGAGGCTACTGCAGCATGCTTCGATCGGGGGTGTGGGTCAGAGACGAGAGAGGACCGCAACATTACTGGACATCCCTGGCATATGTTCAAGGGAAAATAGTTTCTCTCGCCTTGCCACGCTCCACCTCCAGCACATTCCTCCTGAACCAGGGGGCCCAGCCCGATCCAAAGAGAGAGCATGTTCCCGCTCCCCACCAAGTCTCACCCAGGCTTGGCATGAAGACGCAGAGAAGTGCAAACACGCACACGGATTCAAAGACAGATGCCATCATTCAGATAAACACATAGCCCTGTGACTGTCAACCAGGAGATCCTTTTTGGGTGTTTTGCAATATTAGCGCTGTTAAGTGTGCAAGCACCTACCCACGGGTCACAAGGCAAACCCAGCCATTCCCCATAGGAATCCAGTGTCAAACCCATCCTGCCCTGCTGCAGGCAGCAGAGAAATGGCTGCCTTATTTTTCTGCAGTCAAAAACATGAGTGCAAGTTAAAAGCTGGCATTTTCTGAAGGGAGCCTGAAGTCGAACAGGCTGGAGAACCAACGATGCAGTTGCACAAATGCGCCCGGAGGCAAGCAGAGATGCACACACACCCAGAAGAAACAAGGGCAAACACGGACAGATGAGCACACACAGTCGCCCAGACAACTGCGCAGAGCTGCAAACCCACGGGGACCCGCACGTACATGGGACCGAAGCTAGGCAAACACACAGACGCAGGCATGCACGCCCCCCCCCACCAAACTTCAGTTATGCAGGCAAAGCCAGTCACCAGAGAGAAACAAAACAGACTTCAAAGTAGCCCCAGGTGCTGATCAGGTGATACAGCTCCTCTGTGGAAATTATTTTGTGGCTTAAGCAAAAAAGACAAAAAGAGTCGTGTCCCCGTCCCCCCCTCCGCCCCAGACTCCTGATTCTTATAGGAAGGGGGGGCACCCCAAGCGTGGCATCATCTGCATTTCGCTCACAGTCATGTTTCAAATGCTTGATTGTATCTCCAGGGGATGCTGTTTGAGGGAGTTGCTTTTCTTCCACGAGGGTGGATATTTCTTCGATTTTTTCCACCCCTCTCTTGCTAAATGGGAGATACAGAAGTTGCATCTGCCTGGCTCTCCGGTAGTCCGTGGGGTGCCTTTTACAAGATGAGGATCTAGCATCTCCTGCATTTCTCCAGAGCAGCGGTTCTCCACCTTTTCTGTACCAGGACCCACTTGTAAACA